CTTGGACATACAGGCTTTACCCTGAGATCTCCTTCGGGGTGGGTGGCATGATCAGGAGCTCCAGCACAGCACACAGGGCTCAGCTGATCATCATTAATCCTGACCTCTAATGAGCTACATGCCTGCTGCAGACCTAGGCAGAGGGGCGCCAACTCGCCTGAGCTCACACCTCACTCCCAGCCCAGCTCCTGGCCCACCTGCCTCCCAGGTCCCCCAATGTCAGCTGTCTGCCCTTGTCTGTGCCTCACCCCCTGGCACCCAAGGATGGGTTGCGGAACTCAACCCTGTCAAAAGGCTGACTGGAGCTGTGATATTTTCTTTCCCCAAATATTAATATGCTGACGATAAGGGGACGTGAAACCATGTACAACATCTGAGGAAGGGTTGGGAAGGCTGGGGCGGCTTTGCCTGGAGAAGACTTGAAGGGGACATGAGAACTGTCAGCAAGGATTTGGAGGCCTGTCTTGTGGCAGAGATAGCCGGCTTGTTCCTGGCAGTTCCAGAGGGCAGGCTTAGGACCATAGGGGAAATTTCTAGGCAGACAGATTTGGCTTGGCACAAGGCATGGCAGCCCTCCCTAACAACGCCTGTCCATGGGTCCGCCTCCTGCAGAAGGAGCTTCTTGTCACCAACAGGGCTGCCCAGGGGGCTTTGTGCATCAGTGGGGTTGACTCCATGACTCCCAAGGTCCCTTCCAGCCAGAGACACAGTGACTCCGTAATCTGGGAATGGCTTTGCTCTGGCTGGCAGGCGAGCACATGCTTGCGACCCTTGATTGCAACATCACTTGAGGGCGTGCTGGCTGAGGACATCATGTCACTTTTATTCACATCAGTGCAATTTGCAATGGCAACCGTTGGTTTCACCCTGGCCCCAAGGGCTGTCCGAGGGGCCTGAGGGTCTCTAGGGGGGAGGTGGATCAGCTGCCTGGTTGATGACAGTATCCACTCATGCTGCAGGGGGCCCTAGGGTCACCAAGTCCAAGGGGGCGTTCAGATTTTTCTTAGCAATGCATCCCTTTCAAATGGAATTTTCTGCAAAAGTCTGAGATGGGAAACAGAGGAAGATGATGCCACTCCAGCTGAAGAGGACTTGGGGGAAAATACATCCTCAGCTGCTCAGCACCCACCTCCGGAGCCCCTGAGAGATTCCTGGGAACCCTAAAGATTCCAAAGAGCACGCTTGGAAAACTACCAACTGCCCACCTCTGTCCTGGCTGTGGTGTCGTGGCAGAGTGTGGTCTCTGAGCCACACTGCCTGGGTTCAAACCCTGGCTTCACCACTTACTGGTTGAATGACCTTGGACAAGGTATTTGACCCCTCTGTGCCTCAGTTTGCCCATCTGTAAAATGAGGACTATCATCACGCCTACCTCAGAGGGTTGTTGTGAGGATTAAGCTTTTACTGCATGTCGGAGTGAGCAAGGGTCAGTCCTTTCACCAATGAGGGCACGGAGATCCTGAGAGGTTGCGTTTCTTGCCCATGGCACACAGCTGGTTAGTGGCCAGCACAGGGCATCAGCCTAGTTCTAGACTTCAAGCCAATGCCCATTCTACTGTGTCCACAGAATGCTGGTTCCTTAAGATGAATGTTCCCTCTGCCCTCTGGGGATAGTTCACAGTGTGCCCACTGGCCTTGGGCTCGACAGGCTTGGGGCACAATCTTCTGTCCCTGAGGGCTCTCCAGCTGCAGCAGGGGTTGAGGGGTGGGTTTAGGGGATAGGTGCCTTATTTGACAAAGAGAGAGGGGGTGGAGCTCCAGGGATTTGTCCCCTTGGAGAACTTCCCCATGGCCAAGAAGTATGTGGAGGGTGTGACGTGTCTATGAAGAAGGCACCATGCCAGAGCAACTCACCTGGAGCCTGGCAGTGACTTCCAACTGGCTCCTACCATAGCTGCTAGATCATGAGCTTGTTAACAAGCCTCTCATCCTGTCCTTACTCTGCTCAAAAACCTTCCATGGCTCCCATGGCCTATAACACAAAATAAGTCCCTCAGCCTGAGAGACACACCCCTTCCCCATCAGGCCCCACTTTGCTACCTAGCCTGGTTCACACCCATGCCCTCAAGTCCAGTACCTCAAACAACGTGCCCCTTCTTCCTGCCCCCTATGCTCCCTGCTGTTCCCTCTGCCCAGAAGGTCCTACCCTGACCCTACCCCCCAAGCCACGGGGAACACCACTTCCTCAGGGAAGCCTTCCAGATAGCACCCCTAGCCCCAATCACTTCTTCACTTATGGTCTCAGAGCCCTTTGTTTACAAATTGTGATAAAACCAGCACCAACAACTATGATAATAGTGTCCAACAACCCTCTGAGGCAGGTATTATTATTATGTTCACTTTATAAAGGAGAAAACAAAGACACTGAGTAGTAAGACACGTGTCCGAGGCCACGTAGCTGTTAAGGGGCAGAGTCTGAGCTCTTACTTGGGTCTTTTGGAGTCTGAAACCCCAGACTGGTGGTCTTGCCATTCACAAGTTCTGGGGCTGCTGGTGAGCTAGGAGATAATTAGCTGAATTCCTGCCTGTCTTTCTCATTTGAGTGATAACTCCTTGAGGGCAAGAACT